CAACTCGTCTTTCATCACACACCCACTATTTCATCTACCCATGTTTTACCCAACATTTTTGTAGATAAAAATACATATAGAGTTTAAATTATTTAAAAACCTGTATAAATCATTCCTTCAACATCCATCTCAAACAAACAACAATATATATTCACACAACACGTATTTTATATAAAATACTTCATATCTATGTGTAAGGTGAAAGTAACTACACACTCACATGATTTAATGATAATCGGGCAGCACTTCGTTTCCAAAAACGATCGTTTCTAATAAAATCGGGAGTTTTATTGAGAAACCAGGCTCTGCGAGGGTCGGGCTTCGAAACCGAAAAGATAAATTTTCGGGCTTCTCGGGAACTTCGGGACGTGTTTCAGGTGCTATAATTGATACCGGGGTTTCGCGGGATGTCAAAATAGTGAAAATATTGAAAAAGGGGTGAAAAGGGCAAAATCTCCAAAACTACCCAGGAAGGCTCGCAAGCCTTGTATTTATAGGGGAGGTCCGAAGGTCGGCCGAGAGGAGTGCGTCAGCAGCGAGGGCACGAGGCAACAGGAGGCGAAGGCACGTGGCTTAGACAGATGGCGCGCATGCGAGGTGCCAGCGCTTCGGACGCGTCATCGGCTTCGGACACCTGTGCGACACGCGTCGCTCCTCGGACGCGCCACGACTCGGATGATGCAGCTGCTTCGGATACGTGGCCAGCTCAGAGCGAGGGTGACGTGGCTGGTCCGGATGAAGCTTATCCATGCGAATATTCTCGAACATTGTGCCCCAATATTCTAAAATCCATAACTTTCGTATACGAGCTCCGTTTTTTACGTTCTTTATATGCACGCGTAGGGAATATTATGCTCTACAACGTTTGTTTAGACTTCGTCGGATAATTTTGACTTTTTTATATTATTATTTTTAACAGACCGGGACAGGAAATCCGTTAAAAATTCATAACTTCTTCATCCGACGTCCGTTTTCGTCTGTCTTTTTAATGTTGTGCTACTATTGACGAGACCTTCGATTCTCGGTTAGGTCGTGTCGGCTAAAAATTACTCGATCTAAAATTCGAGTTTTTAGTTGTCTACTGCTAAGCTGAAACTTAGAAAAAATCATAACTTCCTCATACGAAGTCAGATTTGAGCGTTCTTTTTATACATACTCTCGGTTTAACGAACACTACATCTTTCATTTAGATCACCAAGGCTAAAAAGTAGTTTATCAAAAACTCACTTTTTATGTCATTCGGCACCGTGCCGGTTTTGTCGCGAAACTTCGACAGGTCATAACTTCTTCGTTATAACTCGGATTTCGGTATTCTTTATATATCCGTAATCCTTGTCACGACCACTACAACTTTCTTAATAAATATCGGCTTTATCTAATATTTATTTTTCGACGCTCATTTTTATTCTTAATTAATTAAATCCTAGTAATTAAGCATAAAACACATAATTCACATAATATTCACATAATTCCTTTTCATTTCTTTCTAAATGAGTTACAAAGGTTAACCTAGACTATTATGTCAATATTAATGCCTAGCCTAGAAACACGGGCGTTACAATATCTGATTAAATACTAATTAAATATTAATATTTCTAATTAATATATTTATCTTTATAATATATTAACAAATCGTTTATTTCAATTTATTAATCAAATAATAAATCAATCTCCTTCTCCAAAATCATCCTGTCTAGTTGCTAGTCTTGAGGGCAAACCAGAAGGATTGTGCTACTATCAATTCAAGTATATACCAATTATAGATATGGGCTTAAATACCTAATCCAACAGTCTCCCACTTGGATAAGTCTAATAACTATAGTTGTCAGTATATTCTCCAAAACTAATTAGCAAATTGTAGCTCTCAAAGCTGTCGTCGAACTCTAACCTAGTCAGAAACATGTCCTAAGATAAGTGATCATATAATCCTCCGTTCCGTATGATATCATGCGGATATGAGACATGTAACATAATAAATCTCATTGTCCAAAACTTTGTTTCCCGATTTCTGATTTGTAATGACAAAGAACAACTAATCGAGCACATCAATTTAGTCCAGGCCTGACCCGACACTATAAGTCAACACCAAATCATCGAGGGGCCTAAAGATATCGATTTTCCCCCTTAAAGGAAAAAAGGAATAGATAAACTTTGACTTATATGTTGGTGCTATTTACTCACCAAATCACGCACAACAATACGTTTTATAACATCAAGTTACTGATGCATTTACATATTATCAATGCACAATTGATTCGTAAACCACGACTCATATATCTTCATTTAAAGATTATAAGAAATTCTCGTCTCAAAATTACTCGTGATAAATTCCATGAAGTAATTCTCTGAACGTGGGTTAATCCAATCCTTAATTTTCCATTTCAAAGTACTCATGAACATTGCAACAAAGCCATTGCTACGCCTAAAACTCTTTAGACAATCTACAGTCGATTCATATCAGTCTTAATTCACTACTTACTTCCAAAAGTATGATCGACTGTGGATATTTGAATAATCCAATTATTCGGGAAGTAAAACATGCAAAATGAAACACAATAATAAACAATTGACAAAAGATAGTAAACAATACTCATAAATAATTCTCCATTACTTAATCATGAAGAGTCAATTACATTTATTTTGTTACAAGTTTCTAAACAACTATCTAACTACTAAAAACTAATATCGTCCTTCAGACCAATGCTCCTAGCATGCTGAACGTGCCTAATCCTACTCAGACCCTTTGTGAGGGGATCTGCAGGATTTTCTTTTGACGATACCCTCTTCACGACGACGTGACCTTCTTCTACTCTATGTCTAATGAAATAGTATTTTTTGTCGATATGCCTTGATCTACCATGATCTCTTGGTTCCTTTGTTAAGGCAACCGCCCCTTCATTATCACAAAAAATCTCCATTGACTCCTTGATGGATGGAACAACTCCAAGGTCTCTGATGAATTTCTTCAACCATATAGCCTCCTTCTATGCTTCGCTTGCTGCTATGTACTCCGATTCACAGGCAGAATCAGCCATTGTGTCCTTTTTGGAACTTATCTAGGTTACCGCTCCTTCATTCAAGGTAAACACCCAGTCAGATTGAGAACGAAAGTTGTCTCTATCCGTTTGAAAGCTGGCGTCACTATACCCAGTTACTCTTAATTTGTCACTGCCACCAAGCACAAGGACCTAGTCCTTAGTTCTGAAGAATGAGAAAAATTCAGTAAACCTAGACTAGAATAGTCCATGTGTTGAAAATACTGAAACAAAGTTTCAGAATCGTCAAGTGGAAAGTAGTGCGAAAGATAAGGAATTATGAATCACCAAGTTAATGATAAAAATGTTTTTTATATTTTCAATATCAATGATTCAAAAGTGTCTCATATTCATCAAGAATCAGTTACAAGTGTTTGAATGATAGACAAGCTAAAACACTCAAATGGCTCTCTGAAAACTAGTCTAAGCAGCAATTGTGTAGAATGATCTGGAATGAGCAAGGAAGAGCAGAAAAGAGCAACTTTATAATGGATCCTAAGGGGCCTCTTTATAGGCTTTGGAAAATCCCATGACATGGATTGACTAATCAGGTGCTGACACGTCATCATGACTTAGTCATCAGTTGACACCTTTGCCCTACTTAACGGAGAATGGATGGAATATTCCAATTCTGTTAGTATTCCGTTAGGGTTCCATCCAAGTTATGAGTCTTCATAATTCTTGAGCCTTCATGATCAAAATTGAAAATATGATGAGCAGCATGAGCATCATGTTGCTCAATTGTCTACTTAGATGTCATCAACTTCCAGAAGTGTTGTTGACCAAGTTGAGTTGTTTCTTGAATGTAGAAATGTGTCTTGAACTTGAAGATGTATGACTACTTGTTCATGATGGACCATAAACGAATTACATGTGCCATTGAGTACTTGGACATGCCTTCATTGTACATGATGAGCCATGTGCAGTCTTGTTGAGCCATAAATGTGATCATGTTGATCCATTGAGTTGAGTTGATCCACCAAGAGTTCATGTTGAGCCATCAACTCTTGTTGAGCCATAGAGTTGTGGATGAGCCAACAATTTTTCTGATGAGCCATCAATATTCTAGATGATCCACCAATGTCTTGATGCTCCATATATGATCTAGATGTGCCACCTGAGATCATGATGGTCCAACTTAAATTCAACAAGTTCTCCATGTTCAACGTCAAGTACTCCAACATTTGATTCTTCAAACACTTGTTGAATCTTCAGTATCTTCCCAACCTGAAACATTCTAATAATGTTTGTTAGAGAGATATATAAAAGGATTCAACTTATTTCAAGTGACAATCACATACAAATATTTTCCAACAATTCCCCCCTATGTGATGGTTACTGAAATAATGAGTAAAAATAAAAGGAGAAATAAAATTAATAACATGCAAGATGAATTTTAACAATAAGATGAATTACTAGTAGCAAAAACATCATTCAAATGTTTGGAAAAACAAAACAAAAACCCATAATATAAACTTTGTTTCTCAAATTTATTAACCATTGCCGAAAGCTTAAAAACCATGTAAGTTCTTCAATGATCTTCACTCTCAGTGACTCATCTTGATCTCCTGTTCTCTTCAATAGACCAATGATGCCTTTAATGAATTTCAGTCGACGTTTAGAAGAGAATACAATACCTTTGTGTCGTTTCTTTAGAATGTTCCCAGGTGACTCATTTTCCATATTTAGATCCAAATTTGGTTCCTCAGCTTCCTTTTCTCCTGGCTATCTAATATCCCAGTCAACACTAAAATCAATAACCATGTCGAGCACATATTGCCTTAGGCGTTGTAGGACATCTGCATAAGCTTTATCTGTACTCGCCCTTTGTTTCAACCAAATGATCAGTGATCTGATATCAGCTTGGTTTATTTTAGGGAAATCAGCTTTAGAGAACATGAATTCAGAGTTGTCTGTTCTTTTTCCTTGAAAGAATGCATATGTCATCTTTCTAAATTTCCGTATCTAGTTTTTGCTAATTGAAGCAATCTTGAACTTTGACCATACAGAGACAACTTGAATTGATTTTTTCAGGAAGAATCTTTTCTTCACCTCTTCAATGTCTATATCAACCTCAACTGAATAAATTACACTTGGCCATAAATTGAACTTCATACCATTCGGGGGTGCAGGGATATCCCAGATTTCTTTAGTAAGGTCTGGAGGAGGTGTGAAGGAATTTTTGGGCTTGATGACGTTGACCTTTTGATAGGAATCTCTATTAGGGTTAAAGAAGATGGTTCTTTTAGGTGATGACACTCTAAATTGTTCATCATGCCATGTACTCCTTTCTTCAGGCGAGATCTCTGAAGATTTATTTTTGAGAAGCATCTCTCTTTTAGATTTCAATTCCTTAGCCTTCAGTTGCTTAGCTAATTCTTCATCTATCTCCATTTGAGCTTCTTTAGATAATTTCTTCTTAGACTTGAAGAAAATCTTCTATTTTCCCTTATCCTTGGGATCAGTTTGAGGAAGCTTTGGTTGAGTGATTGGTTCTGATATGGTGATAGGTTTGGAGAAGTAAACATCTTTCCATCTTGGAACTTTTAGAGATGGATCTTTGATCCCTTGTCGTCGAACGAGTTCCTTTTCTTTCTCAGCTATCCTTTCTCTGTTCTGTTGAGCTTTTAATCGTGCATCAGCTGCCATTTTGTCGAGTGACTCTATTTTCTCTTGTATCTTTTCTCAAACTCATTTGGTGAGTCTGGAATGTGATGTATGACAAGATACTGACTTGATCTGATCTTGTTGACTTTTTCCCCCCTCTGGTTCAAGTGGCCTGTCATTTGAACCAGATAGCTTTGCTAAGATTAAGTCAAGTTTGGAATCAGTCGATGCAAACTTTTGTTGAAGAGCACATAGATCAGAAGAGGAAGATTGTGTCTTGATAGCATTGACTTCATCAACTAGCAACTGAACAGTCTTCTAAAAGGAAGATATGTCCCCTGATGATCTATTGTATTTCTCGGAATTGGATTTTGAGAGATTTGCAATGTCAGATCTTAACGAATCCAATTGACATTGAACTTGCTCACTAAATTCTGAAAGGGAGAGGTGGAGGATGATGCAGAAGCTTTAGATAGTTCAACAATGGACTTCTCTAGAGTGGAGATATATCGGTCTTGAGCAGTAACATGATTCTGCATATGATCCAATTTAGCTTCATAGACGGACTCTAGATTGGATATGGAGTGAATAAAGTGATCTATCTTCTGATTAATCAAAGAAAGACATTATTCAATAGTGTTGAGAATTTTCTAATCTAGAGTTTCGATCGTCCACATGTTGCGAGAAACTTGTCCTTTGATGTAAGCAACTGTGCCTTCAAAATATTCAATAGTGACTTGAAGTGTTTTGACCCGTGCTTTTGTTGTCTCATTAAGGATACACATATTTTCTTCCATACATTCAAGATATTCTTGAAAGTTTTGCAGATATTCAGAGTGAGAAGATGTGTGAAAGTGAATCTCTGCAATACCATCAGCTACCATTTGGGCAGTAAGTCTGATGCGCTCAGGCTATGGTTTTTTGGTATTAACTTCATCTGTTTCTTTAAGAGTACCGTCGTCCTGAAGAGGATCTTGTTGAAAGGAGGAGAAATTTGGTTCTTGAACGTCATCCTTTTTTCGAGACTCTTTTGGAGTTGGAGGAGAATAGTCATCAAGATCAATGCTGAAAGTCCTGGTAGATCCGTTGGAGTAAAGGACAATGGACATGTCGTTTGGGTCATTATCGACTATTAGTCCTTCACTGGAAGGAATATCTACCATTTGCATTGGAGTATCCTCACCGTGATTATCTTGTACAGGAGAGCTTTTAGGAAAAGTTTCAGGTTCGGATTTCTTATCATCATCTTGGTCATCGTCCTCAAGTGAGTCATAATCCAAGGAGATGTGATAGCTTGGACTTTTTAGAACCGACTGAATGCCTACTGGTGAAACTGGAGCTGAAGAGGATGGTTCATCATAATCAGATGGAGCTTGAAACAAGGAATCTAATAAAGAGAATGGCTTAGAGGTTGTACCAGATTTAGGAAGAGATGTGGGTTCCTCTAAATCTGCTCCAAGATTAACATCAGAGACGACTGGAGATGGGATAGGAGGCGGTTGATTTTATTTTGATTTCTTTTTCTTCTTTGCCGACTTCTTGGATGCATGATCGGAATGCTTCCTCTTGTTTTTGGGAGGCGAAATAATTCCATGGATGTATTTTTGATATGAGCATAGAGAGGCACTGTTTTCATCCAACTTTGTAAGTATAGCATCTGGAAGGATGAATGGATGTGAAGACTAAGATTCAGATGCCGTACGAATTCGATATGGTGTCATACACAAGATATGTGGCTGTGGGCCTTCTCGAATCGATCCCGGTGCAAGATTACTATTATGGATGGCATCATGAATAATGATAGACCGCCAACGAGGATGATGAATCAAAAACTTATTCTTTGAGGCAGGGAGAAAATTGAGGAAATCTTCCCAAAGAATAGACGCGTAGTCAACATTGATGTCATAGAAGAGCCCATACATGAGACTCCAAATGTCTGTTTTACCACGACTGCGTCCGCCAACTGATCCAAAAAGACATCGAGTGAGGACGGAACTAAGTTAGTGCCATGGGGTGGGAATACAAGATTTCTGAATTCTTGAAAGGCATGGTTCTTTTTTGTCTTCAAATTTGTACCCCATTTCCTTGAACATTGTCAACAATTGAGCAGAAGATGGTGTAACAAATGTCTGAGGTTGATGAGAAATATCGCTTAGACCTAAACTGACTGCGAATTCTTCTTTAGTTAGAACCAAGGTAGCTTGAAAAAGATCAAATTCAACATCAAGTTGTTTTGACCTTGCTCTTGTGGAAATGACTGGTGATTGAAAGAATTTTGAGATAAGAGATTGTGGAGTTGGAGAAGTAGAAATGAGTGCATATGCCAATGGGCACTTTTGCAAATATTCAACTATAACACCGATTTATTTAGGTTGTTCCTTAGTGTTAAGAAGTGCAGTATAGGTGGATGCAGCCATGTCAATTTTAGGTGATGATGAGTTTGTCTCAGTTGAAGGTCCAGTTGCATGAGATTGTGAAGCCTTATGAGGAGACTTTTCTTTAGAATTCTGTCCATCTTCTTTGGAAGCCATGTCTTGAGAGAATAGAAGAAGAACAAAAAGTGGAATAAATTGTTAGTTAAAGAGATATAGCTAGAGAGTAGTAGTCTATAATCTTAACTAAATTCCAAAAAAAGGGGGGGGGGGGGAGAAGAAAAAAATGTGTGAATTTGCATTAACTAAACAAGGTTGTGACTTGAGTAGTATTGTTGATTCAACTATGGACAAGAGGAATCTGCAAATTCATTTTCACTAGGTATAGGCCAGAAAGGAAATTACATGACAAGTTGGAATAGAAAAGAAAGAACTTGATGTCATATAAAACAACAACACAAAAAATTAATGTTACTAAATCATAGCAAAAGTGCAAGGATCAAGTAAAACTACTAAGTCATGGCCCATGATGACTACGGCATATCAAATAAAGATGTCTTTAGAAAATAACAGAAAATTAGGTATCATAGAGACAACAGTTGACAAGTATTTATGTAAATCCAAGAACACATAGAGTAATGAATGGATTTAGATAGAGTTGAAAACGAAAGAAAATAATATGTTGATCTTAAAAGAACATATAAAAGACATGAAATTGAAGATAACATAAGAGTAAGAGAAGATACATTACCTTAAAGAAGATAGGTGAAGGTAATAGACTTGTGAGTATGAAAAGCAAGATATGCACCAATAAGTATAATGCTCACAGAAAAGATTTGATCAAAGGATCAACACTAAATAACCTAAGCATGGTATGTGAAGATGAACTAATGATCAATAAGAAATAAAAAATAAAAAAATAAAAAATAATAATAAAAAATGAAATAAAAAAAATATGCTCACCCAATATGATTGCAACAAGAAGACGTGTTCACTTAAAAGAAGTGATTGGCCAATACTAGGGGAACCTGACCATAGGAACATATGTATAGACATGAATCATCAACTAAGGAGGGGTAACCTTATTATATGAGGATATGTGAACATGCAAAAGAGATGTTACTTACCCGTTGATGTCTTGTTGAATCAATGAGCAATAGAGAGATAAGGCAACACAAATGACACATGAGATATTCAAATCTATGTTATGTCAAAAGAAAGCAAAACTTTAGAAAGTGTACACCATGATCATCATAGAGTGTAAAGAAGAAGAATGAACACTTACCTAGAGTGATCAAGGAATGTGATGCTCAACATAAAATGATGATGGACCACGTGATGATAAACACTAAACACATGATGATTCAATAATCAATGTTAAGTTGACTATGATGTACAAAATATACACATGAAATGTATGATAATGCTCATGAGGTTGACTTGTGACAACTAGGGTTTCACAAAAGAATTGTGATGCTTACCTAGATTTTGGAGATGATCCACACAAGAGAGGTTTAATGATGATTCTCTGACAAGTAGTTGATGATGCTCTAATGGAAAAGAAAACTAGGGTTTGTAAAAAAAAAAAAAACGATATATGGTTAAAAAAACGTGTATTAGGGTTTTCAAAAAAATGATGATTCTCCAAGACTTTGATGCTTACTAGGGTTTTGAAAGTTGAGTGTGGAGCAAGTAAGGTTTTGAAACTTGATTCTTTCTTGATGATCACAAGGGAAGGAGGATGGCTCAAGAGGTGATCACGAAATCACTTGGTGATCACAAAGATCTTGTTGATGATCAAGAGGGTGATTACAAAGATGTTGTTGCACAAGATGGTTGATGAGCAAGTGATGATCACGAAGAGGGTATGGCTCAAGAGTGTGACTTGACACAAGGATGTTGCTCACGCAAGAGGATGATTAGGTATTAGGGTTTTTTAGATGGCTCAAGTTGTTGATGTTTATTAGGGTTGGCGCAAGTTGGAGCTTTGTGGAACACGATGTTGCCCCAAAATTTGCAAACCGTGATAGAGTTACGCAAGGAAGAAAGAAGTGATCACGAGTAGGGATGGTGCATATTGTGTTTTCGGCCAGGAGGAGATGATCACAAGTTCGTGTTGGTGCAAGATAATTTATGAGGAAAGAAAGGTTGGCTCAAGAAGGATTAAGAGCTGCGCCAAGGGAAGAGGTTACTCACGAAAGAAGTGCTCATGAGAAGATGTTGAAGGCGCAAGAAATATATGGAACACGGGTAGGGTTTTGAGGCTTGAGTGGGGCACAAGGAACCGAGGTCAAGAGTGTGGATCAAGAAGGAAAAAAAATGTGTGGCTCAAGAAGGAAAAAAATGTGTGGCTCAAGAAGTTATCCTCGGTTTTGCTTGATGATCACAAAAAAGAGGTTGAGCAAGAAAGGTTTGTGGCGTACAAAGAGAAGTATGGCTCAAGAAAAAAATGTGGCTCAATTACGGTTTGAAGGGTGTGGCGCAAGTAGGAGTGGGAGGCAAGAATTTCTTGAGGCGCAAGAGAAGAAGAAAAGAAGAAGGTGGCGCAAGAAGTATTGCTCAACTAGGGTTTGAAGTGGCGCAAGTTGTTGATGGTCCAAGAGGTTAACACAAAGTCACTTGTTGATCACAATTAGGGTTTGCAAAAAAAAATGACTTGTGGCTCAAGAAGGAATTGTGAAATATGATTGTTGAGCCAAATTAGGTTTTGCAAAAAAAAGGCTAGTGGCTCAAGAGGGAAGTTTCAAAATTTGGTTGTTGAGCCACATTAGTGTTTGCAAAAAAAGGCTTGTGGCTCAAGAGGGATGTTTCGAAATTTGGTTGTTGAGCCACATTAGGGTTTGCAAAAAAAGGCTTGTGGCTCAAGAAGGAATTTCGAATTAAGGTTGTTGAGCCAAATTAGGGTTTACAACAAAAAATGACTTGTGGCTCAAGAGGTGAATTTCGAAATTAGGGTGTTGAGCCAAATTAGGGTTTGCAACAAAAAATGACTTGTGGCTCAAGAGGTGAATTTCGAAATTAGGGTGTTGAGCCAAATTAGGGTTTGCAACAAAAAATGACTTGTGGCTCAAGAGGAGAATTTCGAGATTAGTGTGTTGAGCTACATTAGGGTTTGTAAAAAAAATACTTGTTGAGCCAAATTTGTTGTTGTGCCATGGCTGCTTGTTGCTCACAAACCGAAGTTGCTTGTTGCTTACGCGACTATTGCTCACGAAGCCTTGTTTCTCCAAACGATTATGAGAGTAAGAATTTGTGATAGAGTGAAAAAGAAAGAATGAGAAGTAGAAGTGAGGTATTTATAGCTAAAGGTTTCGAAATAGGGCTTGCATGGGCCAACTTGTGGGCCCAGAAGGCTTGGATGGTACTCAAGTATAAATAGGAGAATGTCAACTTGAGTCACGAGCGCGAGAATGATGCCTTGAGAATCAAGAAAGAAAAGGTGGTGCATGCATGGATGTTATCTTTGAGACGTGCATGTCACCTAAGGAATGATCTACTTGAAACGTGCATGACATACTTGACACGTTCATGGCCTACCTGAGATATGCATGGTCTACCTCAGATATGCATGGCCTACTTGAGATGTTCATGCCCTACCTAAAACGTGCATGGATGAAGATGCTTCAAGTTGTTGATCATGTGCCAATGTTCTTGATCATGCTCCAATGTTGTTGAACATGTTACAATGTTCTTGAGCATGCTCTAATGTTTTTGAACATGCTTTAATTCTCTTGAACATGCTTCAATGTTCTTGAACATGCTTGTGAGAACAAGATCTATGCGCAGGGACAAGGTTTGAAAACTCAAACCTTGAGTAAATGCTTGAGATCAATGTCTGCTTGCTAATGGATGTTCAAGTCTAGACTGGAAAGACCAGTCAAGTCTTAGATAATCAGTTCAACAAATGATCAAGACATTAATTGAGAACAATTAGTCAATGATCAAGGTAAAGTTGATAAATGAAGAACAAGAAGAATGTTTTAATGTGATAAGAGTAAATGCCAAAAGTAAGTGAAAGATCTGTAGTTGACTTGTATTGAAAGCTCCTATTTAAAGGAGTGAATGTTACAGCGAATTAACCCAAGTGTTTACATAAGACCGGACAAAAGACATAAGTCTGACATTCTGATTGTACTAAAGCAACTTTAGACTAAGTCCTATGAAACGTTACACCAAATACAAGACAAAAGTAATAAATGCACTAAAGACAGAAAGACTTCATTCCGGACAAGTATTATTCCGGAGATAAAAGTTTGATCCAGATCAGCATACATTCTGGACATCAGGATTAGCTCCGAAATGTGTTCCTCTTCAAAATACTCCTTCTCTTCTTTTCTTCAGCTCCGGACAGGTTCCAGATTACTTTTCCTTTCGGAACCAACACACTTCCGAATATGTACTTGGGATTGCTAGAGGTTCACTTTCAGGTTCCAACAATCTCCCCCTAAGTGAACTTAGCAATCCAGCAAGCTTAGTTCATTTCTTCCTTGATGAAGGTGTATGCTCTGAACAACCATACACGCACCGCAATGTACCAAGTCAGTTGACTT